CAGAACTTAGATTTTGAGTGAAGCGAAAGCTGTATTTCTTTACTTTCTTTGTTCGACCGTTTTCATGTGGTATATAGCTTACTAAAAGTTATTAATCTTATCCAAGGTAATTTTTTTTTTAATGAGAACTTTTTAAAAGAAATTACACCGAATATCGAAAACAGTGGAATACCTCTCGCCAACCGTAGTTTTTACCGAGCTGCACTCAAAATTAATATCCGAATGCAACGATTCAACATTCGAAGTTGCTTCCAAATTTATTATATTAGCAGCTAGAATTTCAATGCATTAGCATATTTTTAGTCAAATTTTCTTTTAGTCCAAATACATTTTTAGTCATTTTTTAGTTATGTCCACGATTCAGCTCATTGTATTTAAATTATATATTATATATATACTTGGATATTTTAAGCGGATAGAACATATTTTTTGCATATCTCAATAAAATACACACGTACTTATACCTAATTCATATCAAGAGTTTTTAATATTTATTTGGAAAACTAATATAAAATTGTAATAATCTAACGAAGATCAGTTATTATTATTTGTTTATCATAATTTTACTACCTATTTATAACCTGATATGGTCGATTATATCGAGTAAAACTTAAAATTTAGGTTTGCATATAGTAGACTATGATTGTTCATATTTACTGCCTAATTACTATAATACAACCTTTGTTTGCAGTGTAGAGACATAGTATTATATGTTGTGCGTCATGCGCGACATTTAGAGTAACATTTATATAATGATTTCGAAGAATGCTTTAGGTTCAAAATTAAGTTGCTAGATATGACAATTTTTTGAAAAATGTTCTGTCAAAGCTGATGTAAAATATTTACTTTATTGTATTATTTCCTACCAATTTTTATGTAAATCTATATTTTAATGTTTGATAGAATCTTAATTATATTTATTTCGCATGTAGTTACAAATAAAAGGCATATTTTACCTTTTTATTGCATATAAATCCTAGCCTAATAATAATGATAATAATACACCAGCTCTTTTCTACGTCGAGATAAGTGGAGCGATGAGACGTGTTTATAACTCTGATTACACATAAGCCACATGTTGTTGGTGTTTCCTTCATGGATTTGTAATTTCTAACATTTTTTTAATATACCTAACCTTAATTGCAATCATTAAACAATTAATTTCACTTTGTTGGTATCCATAATTATTTATTCGAAGATTTTTATGGTGAATTATTACATTCAATTTAAATTCGGTCAAGGGTTTAGGAAAGCGTCCTCTATAATAGTAATTTCAACATTTTTAATACAGAAAAGTAAGTTTCTCTGGATTAAAGAATGGTCCCTTTTTTTAGAAACAATCAAATACCATGCAGCACAAAAACGGAGCTTCCTGAAACTACTTTAAGTAGTTTTCCAAAATAATATAACATTTTTTCGACTACCATGAAATCAGTACTTATAATTATCACCGTGTGTTCAATAATTATCATAATATGTATAAATTATATTAATTTCAATTCAAAATGGTTTTTGTCATAATTAGGCGAAAAATGTATTCGGTGAGGTGAATTAACCAAATGGTTAGCTTTGACTCTGACCTACGGACGAGCGAAGTGTTAGTACCAACGCTTGAAACCAAAAACAATTTTTTCAATTTCGATTTCAGTTTCGGACATTGCTATTCATTTTTCCGATTTGGATATCGATTTCGGATGTCGGTAAATATTTTTTCCTATTTCGTTTTTGGTTTCGATTTTTAACTTTTTCAATCGGTATTCAAAATCGGTATCGAATATCAGTTTCAAGTCCTGGTTAGTACCTATTAATATCAACATAATATTTTTCTATTTAGTTGTAATACAGTTGTGCAGGCATGAAGGTAGCAGATACAAGTCTTGTTAAATACTAATTAAAATGTAAAATGATTTGATAAATGCTTATAATTTTTAATCGTTATAAAAAAAAATAACAGAATTTCACAACACCATGAATTACTCTATTAGTACAGTTCTTAACCAAACGTTGTTTATTCGTCCGGTAGAGGCCGCTCTAAGTAACAAAGATTGCATTATTATTGGTCATACACTCATATTATTATAATTATTATAATGACGTAGGTACTTAGATATTAATATATATTATTATATTAAAACATAATGATACTTATGGTTTTAGACGGTCGATCTTAAACTGTGGTGAAACTACTGCGAAGTTAATAATATTATTTTGCTAAACAATATATTATTATCATTTTAAATTTATTCGTTTGAAGAGTTAGGAAACACATATGTTCAAAAAGTAAGCAACTAACAAGATGAGACCGATAAAAATAGTAAAATGGTATTTTGTTTTTTATAAATAATTTAAATTATGTTTTAACTAACTTTTAGCACACAAAAATAATATTTTGAATAACCGACATTTTTTTTGCGATATTATGGTGTTAAAAGAATCTCCGTGTATATTGTATGTTTGAATAATATATTAATATTATAGGTAAGTCTAAATAATATGTAAGTATTATTTTTTAAATAGTACAGACTTTTGTATACACGAACTGCTTATAATCTTTTGAAATTTGTGAAAAACAGAGAAATTAGCATTTCTCGTTAATATCAATAATATTATTAGTAATAATTAATAAGATATTATTATAAGAAAGCCCTGAGTATGACAGTTTTCAGTTTTATGCTACATAATATTATATACAATTGTCAATTATAATATTTGAGAATATGAGTATAGGATACTATAGGTACAAATATCCAATAGGTATCATATAAATTAATAATATAAAATCATTGTAAGTACTTATACGAATATGCGGTAAATGATTCTGAGTGAATATGGTCTGTCACGTTGTAGACATTTTCAATTTTTGATTGTTTTAGCTTTTTTTCTACGTAAATGTTAATAACATTTTTTTTGTTGGACTAAAATGCTTGAAAATTTAACACAAGGTTCCTCATAAGTTGTTATAATAGCAATTGAAAAATTTTAAAGATCCATAAGCAAAGATTTTATGTGTATTTAACATTGTACTTTGACAAACTGTATCAAACTCTCGAAAATGTGCAAAACTATTTTGCACCTAAAATTGTATAATTTTTTCAATTTTTATTTTTTATAGCTACAAATAGAAAATTACAATAAAATATTCTCATCAATAGTTTATACCATTGTATCCATGAATTCAAATTTAATATCGTCCATAAGTCATTTAAGTGACCCAATTGTAACCTATGGGTTACAAGTATACAGTATACTGCGCAGCAGAGTTGTTCCCTCCTTTTTTTATTTACAATATTACAACTTATGAGTAAATTGTTATTAATTTTCATTCTTTAGCTATAAATATGAAAAAATGTTATAAATGCTTAATCATTAGTATACATTTAAAATAATATAGGCCCTAGAATAATGCCTTGAGGTACTCCAAAGTTCAAACCGAACAACTTTAATCCTTCACTTACTAAGTCTTAAATTAGTTTTATTCGTACATACATTTTGTAATAGATTCTTTCGGTAATGTGTAACCTTTACTCAGCTTTAAAATAAAAAGTACTGTATAGGAATCAATGATAATCGATTACTGCAGTAGACTAAGATGATAAGACTAAATTCAATACATAATTATATTTAGGCTAGGTTATGTTGACTTCGTAAAACTAAACGCTTATAATATGAGAGCCCCTGGTTAAATAATAATACTTTTACAGTTTAGGGAGCCAATGTTCTCGTATTGGAACAAGAATATTAATGATTTTAAATAGGTACACTAAGATGATTTAGTAATCTAATTTATAAGAGTATTGTGGAAATGTATTAAACATATAAACATTAATTAATGATTAATTAAAGGCTACGGAGCTAGTTTTTAGTAAAACTTGTCTTACAGGAAACGACCTGCAGAATAGTCAGATTTCCCTCATTTTGTTTTTTATTTACAAAAAAAAAACATTTTGCAGGTCCGATCAAAGCCGGATTTTCAACATTATAGTTATTGTAGCTAAAATATGCATTTAAGTATTGCACAATATTTCCAATTTTATCCCTTTTCTAATGTATTTCCCGAACATTACTTATTTAAGGTAAAATTAAAATTCGGAGTTTGATCTAACCTGAAAAAAGTTCGCATATTTTGGATAGGTGAAAAAATGTTTTCAAAATTCTACATACCAATACGCCGTGAGAGTTTTTCCTGTGAAGTCATTTTCGTTGATATAATACACTGTATCAATGACCCTTAAATAGTTATCGTACACTAGATTAGTAAAAAATTATTTTAATTAAGGTAGCGATTAAAATAAAATAAATCATTTTCAAATTATATAGAATTTCGGAAAATTGGAAAAACTGGCACCGTCACCCTTAATATAACCCTATTCAAACTTCCTGTTTATAAGTGACAAATTTAAAAAGTAATACATTTCAATATATTGTCTGTAAGTTGCACTTACTCCATTTCTACTTTATTATTATTATTATTATTATTAGGTATTTATAATGAATCCCCAATACTTTAATGATCAGTAAATAATATTAGAACATTAATTTAAATGTCGGTCATTAATACAGCTGTTATATTATACAATATTCTGTTACTGTTAAATATAATATATTTATGTATAGATTAATATTTAACGTTTTTATAAAAGAAGATATATCGATGTTAAATGAGACAAGATACTTAAATATCCAAAGTAGGTACAATTTGGTATGGGTATGATACACCTAAAATGTAAATAATATAACATATTTTCATCACCAATCATCTGATAACAATATACAGTGTAAGCGATGACATAAGTTTACTTTTCCACATTTATAATATTATGTAGTGCCATATGAGCCGGAAGGATATTATTATCATAGGCCTTAAACTACTAGAGAAGAACTGTGTATAACAGTAGCATTACGAGCGGAGTTACAACATCTCGCAGTGATGTAGGCTGTCCTTACAAAAAATACAATTGTCTATATCTTTTAAGGGTAGTAAATAAAAATAAAACACAAAATAATAATGCATGATATTTGTATTTATTTATTAAATTGACTGTAATGACATTTTATATAATATTGTTTTAAATGAATTAATCACACGTAATGCTAATAGACGAACTCGAAGATGAATGAGTAGATGAACTACTTGAATGGCTACTACTACTGCTACTACTGCTCCAACATGAAGTGTGCGATTCGAAATATGAGGTATCAAATACGTAATCTCCATCTATAGTTTTAGATTGATCTATTTTGATCATGTGATTTGGATTGTAACCACTGTACAATAATGATTGAGTAATAGATTTCATAGTATCCAGGCTTGGAATTCTGTCCCTCGTATAAGCATAGACTTGGTATACTTTTTCTGTACCTGTGTAAACAAACAAAAATACTGTAATACAGAATTGTCCACAGATAATAACAGAACATATTGTCAAACTATGTGAGTACTAACTAAAGAACGGGTTGTTGAAATCGTTTGCAACGCAGAATATTAAGTAATCGTCTTCTTTGTACCCGATAATACTTGCTATGATTTGGGTATTGTCTAGAATTAAGTTTATAATTTATTAATTGACATATGGTTACAACATGAATACCGTAAAAAATGTAAATTCATAGTTAAAATTAACAATAATTACATATATCTGATGGCGGTTTACAAATCATTCCATCAACTGGTAGACAATCTTTTTCCACAAGAGGTTTATCATCTATAAGTAATCAAATCACAAATATTAATTGCAATCATTAAGTTCACATATTTGAGAATTTTAGGTCGTACAATATCCTTCAGTATAGAATGCAAAAACGGATGTACTAAGTGGATGGTCTTCAGGATAACATGATGAGATATAACTTCTCGTCTCTTGTAATTCGGAAGTTCTAAAATTATGTAAACAATGTGTCATTAGTCATTATATTTTAAAATAATGACCTAACATTAAAGCTTACATCATATTGTAACCACGATCCATCACCATGTGAGGAATTTTGGGATTCCATTTTTCCATTGATACAGTATCAAAACACAGTTGTAATGAACATGCAGGGAACGCCGTATCTAAAAACAATAACACGATCAAATATTAATTTGTTTTTGGAGCAAATGGCTACATCATAATTTATAAACAGTCAAGAACATAATATAAGATAGCGTTATAGGAACTTACTCATGAAACCGACCCTCGAATACTTGCTGCCGTAATATGAACAAGGTGTAGCTTCTTGCATGAAATAAACTCCAGAGAAAGCCTTTCTAATCTATAAATAATAAATGCAAATGTTGATATTTAATTTGTAAGTCAATCACTTTAAACTTATAAGTTGAATCGTTCATTGCAACACGAAAAAATCAAACAGATACTAGTTCAAATATAGAATAGTTGAAAATTAAATTAAACATTTATAATTACTGATATATTATCCAGGCCATTTAAGATTTGGATACCCTGGTATAAATCACATGGTGCGTATTGATACAAGCTAGTGAACTCTGTGCTCTTCTCAATTATCACAGTCGATTTCATAGTTGTTGTTGTTGAACTAGATTTTGAAGTTGAAGAAGAACTACTGCAGTCACTAACGATTGATTTCGTTGATGATGACGTTGAAGATACGGAAGTATGTTCCACCACGTCATTGATATCACCAGTTGTAATTGGTGACAATGAAGGTACCGTCAGTGAAGGTACCCCCAGTGAAGGTACTGAAGTTGGTACTATCGAATGATCAACACTTACCAAATAGTAAGGGGACAGACCACTTCTCTCAATATCTTCGTATACTTTCTTATAAGTACTCCAATCAGGGTTTTCATCTCTTGTTACTACCCAGATGATATACTTATTTCCTAAAATATATTTTTATAATTTTTATGTTGTTTTAAAATAGTTGAATTACTTTTACTATGATTCTTACCGCTAAAGAAGTTTTCATACTGGTTGATAACAACTATCGTCATATACTCTTCCCAGCAGTCATCAGCACCGATGACAGCGATTGTGTATTCTCTCTGACCTGTTATAAAAACAGAAATGTGTGATTTGAGAAGTTATTATTATTATTTATACTATATTAACTTACAGGTACCCTTGCCGATCTTATGCCTGAATAACTTCTTGTCAATAAATGGATATTTTTCAGTAATTGCGGTATCATCTGGAAATATAATTTACTAAATCATTTTTCGTGTAATTAAATTATTGTTTTTATGAAAAAAACAAATAATATTATTTAAATTTAAAAAAAAATATTTTTAAAATTATTTTTGTGATAAAATATGTATAAACTGTGATTTACTTACAATATTTTTCAGAACCGACGTTAAAGATTGCATATGGGCTAGAACAGCCATATGCTGGGCATAATAATGCTTTTTGGGTTTCTGTACACTGGGTACTAATAATGACAAATAACTTATTATAATATACAAATATGTATAACTTTAAGTTCTTAAAATATGTTAAATACATTTAATCACTTTTAAACCACAATATTAAAGGTTTTATTGTATTTTGTTTTGTTTGGTAAAGTATACAAGTTCTTATAGGCATTTGGTAATACTTCTACGTAATAATATTCAAAACATTGTAGGTTGTATATAAAAAAAATTGTCTAACTCAGTAGCATAGACACTATTGTGAAATGGTGGAGGGGTTAAGTATAAATTAAACAAAGTTTTTAACAGTTTTCGGAAATAAACAAAACATTTATTATGTCAATTTGGGGGGGGGGGGGGTGAACACCCGAAATTTTCCTGACTACGTCACTGCAGATCTAACTAGTTTTTCAATTACATATTTTTTAATTTTTCAATCCAGTTTAATTTACTTGATGATTTAACACATTGAAAATATAATACTTGTTACTATTTTTGGTATGTTAATTTTTGATTTTACTTTGTTAAAGTGACAGTGACAACAATCAGGCTTCTAAAATTGTTTTGACTTTCAACTTTAATATATTTAATACTCACTAGATATTGTATGATGAATCAATCATTTCGTATTCAGTGTTATAATCGGTATCATCACATGGTGTGGTATCCTTGAATATCAGTTGATTATTGGTGCAAGGATAACTGTTGCCTGTTATATAAAAATAAATACAATCATTGAAATATTTGTAATAAATTTTCAATAGTAATATTTTACACACAGAAGAGTCCGGTTTTTAATGGATTATTTCCATTTATGTATGTTGGTGTAGCCATTTGTAGATTCCATGTTCCTTGGAATGCAATAGTAGCCTATACATATTAAACAACTTAATGAACATTTGAAAAAAAGTGATATAGAAAAATGTTATCATAGATCTACCTAAAATTAAATGGCCTGATTACAGAGAGAGGGGTCTGGTGGCCGACATTTTTAGCAGAGGCTTAACCCTTTATGCCCATTAGTATCAGAGAAAGAAATTAGTTCATCAATAATGATAACAACATTATTTAAAAAAACGGAGTAGTATGTAACACGTCTAGTCAGTACTTCAACTAAGAGCCAATTATTTTGTATAATAATTGTACTTAGGATTTTCAATTTCCACTTCTCATTAATACCTACCAACTAGATCCAATTTGATACCAGAGACCACCCTCAAAAACTTAAACTTATATACTTACGTATTGACTGTCAAAAGTTTTAACGTCCCAGTCCTTTGGACATATTGAAGGTAGTTCAGTTATAGGGGAATCATTTCCAATGCTGATTCCACGTGTAGAAACCATACTTTTAGTCATAGAAGTACTGGTAATTGTTGATTTAAAATACGATTCATCAAATGTATATAAATCATCAATTGTTTTCGAATGATCAATTTTGATCATGTAATTTGGGTTAATTCCACAACGCAAGATTTCTTGGGTGATACTATTCATAGTAGTTAGACTTGGAATTCTATCTCTGGTGTAAGAATAGACCAGAGGTACTTCCTTATTTGCTGAAAATTTAAAGTAATGCGTAGGTATAAAACAAGGAGATCCGTAAAATATTTTAATAATTTTTATAAAAATGATTGTGGATTGTTTAACTACTAACTTATCAACGGGTTATCGTACTGGTTTGCAACGCAGAATATTAAGTAATCATCTTCTTTGTACCCTATAATACTTGCTACGATTTGGGTATTGTCTAAAATTAAAAATATAATTTATTAATTGATATATAGGTACAACATAAATTCCATTAAAAATTGCAATTCATAGTTAAAATCAACAATAATTACATATATCTGATGGCTGTTCGCAAATCATTCCATCAATTGATAGGCAATTTTTTTCCACAACAGGTTTATCATCTAAAAGTAATTAAATCACAAAAATAAATTACAATCATTAAGTTCACACGACAAAGAACTTCAGGTCTTACAATATCCTTCAGTATAGAGTGCAAAAACGGAGAAACCAAATGGATTGTCTTCATCATAAAATGATGAAATATAGCTTCTCGTCTGTTGCACTTTAGAAGTTCTAAAATAATATAAAAACAATATATCATTAAATTGTAGAATAAAAATCATAGCATTAAAGCTTACATCATATTGTAACCACGCTCCAACACCATATAACGAGTATTGAAATTCCATTTTTCCATTGATACATCATCAAAATTTATTTCCATTGAACAAGAAGGGAACGCCGTATCTAAAAAACAATGATACGATTAAATATTAATTTGTTTTTGGATCAAATGCATAAATTATGAACAGTCAAAAACACAATATAAGGTTCTTACTTAAAAAACCGGGTTTTGCATCAAGGTAATCGTAGAACGAACATGGCACAGCATTTTGCATGAAATATCTTCCAGACAAAGCTTTTCTAATCTGAAAACAATAATGCAAATATTGATATTTCATTGAGAAATAAATCACTTTAAACTAATAAATTAGATTGCAATACGAACAAATCAAATAAATAATACTATTTCAAATTTAGAATAGCTGATAATATTTAGGCTTGTATTATTACTGTTATATTATCCAGGCCCTTTAAGATTTGGATGCCCTTGTATGTGTTGTACAAATCACATGGCGCGACTTGATACAGGCTAGTGAACTCTGTGCTCTTCTCAATTATCACAGTCGATTCCGTAGTTGTTGTTGTTGTTGAACTAGATGTTGAAGTTGAAGAAAAACTACTGCCGTCACTAACGATTGATTTCGTTGATGATGACGTTGAAGATACGGAAGTTTGTCCCACCACGTCATTGATATCACCAGTTGTAATTGGTGACAATGAAGGTACCGTCAGTGAAGGTGCCGTTAGTGAAGGTGCCGTCAGTGAAGGTGCCGTCAATGAAGGTGCCGTCAGTGAAGGTACCCCCAGTGAAGGTACTGAAGTTGGTACTATCGAATGATCAACACTTACCAAATAGTTAGGGGACAGACCACTTGCCTTAATGTCATCATAAGCTTTCTTATAAGTACTCCAATCAGGGTTAACTTCTCTTGTTACTACCCAGATGATATACTTATTTCCTGAAATATATTTTTATAATTTGTATTTTATTTTAAAGTAGTTGAATTACTTTTACTATGATTCTTACCACCAAAGAAGTTTTTATACTGGTTCATAACAGCTAATACCATATATTCTTTCCAGCAGTCATCAGCACCGATGACAGCGACTGTGTATTCTCTTTCACCTGTTATACAAATAGAAACGTGTGATTTTAGAAGTTATTATTATTGCTTTTATTATATGAACTTACAGTTATCCTTGCCGATCTTGTGTCTGAATAATTTATCGTCAAAGAATGGATGTTGTTCAACAATTGGGTTTTTATCTAAAAATGTAATGTAGTTATCATTTAATGCGCAATTGGATTATTGTTTTTATCATAAGAACAACAAATATTATTTGAATTCATAAAAATATTTTTTAAATCATTATGATATAAATATGAATTAACTGTGATTTACTTACAATATCTTTCACAGCCGACGTTAAAGATTGCATATGGGCTAGATTTGCCATATGCTGGGCATAATAACGCCTTTTGGATTTCTGTATTCTGTGTGCTAAAGATAAACAACGTATTATAATATATAACAATGAATAACAGTGTTCATAAAATATGTAATATACATTGAATCTTTTTTGAAATCACAACATATACGATTTAAAAGTATTTTGTTTCGATAAAAATGTATTTTAAAATAAGAATGTTAAACTCTTCTAATGATTTTCAGATTAGTTTACATTGTTAAACGAATGTGTTGATTTTATATTAACTAGTTGTAAAATGTGATTTTTTCATTTTTTGATTCATTTCAGTTCATCAGATTGATTAACATATTGAGAATATAGTCCGTGTAATTGTTTAACAACGTAATTAGTGTATGCCATTACCTACTGTACTTATGAATTACAAAATTACAAACAAATTTGTTAAAGCGTCAATAGTCGGTGTTTTGATGTACAATATTCATAATACTCACTAGAGATTGTATGATGAATCAATCATTTCGTATTCAATGTTATAATCTGTATCATCACATGGTGTGGTATCCTTGAATATCAATTGATTGTGAGTACAGGGATAACTGTTGCCTATTATAAAAGTTGAAATTAAAATTGTGTATTTTAATTAGTGTTCAATAATAATGTTTTTCATACAAAACAGCCCGGTTTTTAATGGGTTTTGGTCATCTATGTATATTGGTGTTGTCATTTGTACGTTCCATGTTCCTTGGAATGCTAATGTTGCCTGTACATATTAAGATGCAATACATTTTTTTTACGAAGAAAACATAATGAGCTGAATGAATTTCAATTTCAATAATTTATGTTCCTCCATAATCTTGTTTATTATATATTCAATTAAACTTATGTGCTATGTATTCATGTTTTTGAAAAACATTATGTCGACACATATTATATCATAGAGCTGTTATAATTTTATTAAAGAAATGGAGAACATAAACTATTATTACTAGTTATATTGAATACTAATTTTGTGTTTTTACATGTAATTGTGTGTTTACACTACATATATTATTATTATTATTTCCTCTCAGAATTTTGATATATATTGTTTTATTACTTACGCATTGGGATTCAAATGTCTTAATTTTCCATTCAGAAGGACATATTTTAGGCAAACTGATAGAGCAATCATTGTTTTTTACTGGGCATGCCACAGCAGCAGCAATAATAACGGAAAGAATCAGTACAGCCCTCATCCTAATAATGTAAACGTAATGTTAGTTACAAAATAGTGTATAAGCTTTTTTTCATTTTTATTTATATTTCTATAAAATTGTTAAATGTTTTTGTTTATCTAGCACACAACAAATTCAATTAAATATAGATATCAATATTATTTATAATATAATATTCTGTAATACAATGATAATTCAATGATTGTTATATTGAGTATTGACATTGTAATTCAATCATTTTACTGTTGATATTTATTTTCAATCCATACCGATTTATTAATTCAATTATTCTGAGTAATTGTATTTTAATTTATCACTTACGATCGGTAAATTGTATTATATATTTTTTTGAAATATTAATCAGTTGCATTGTTCATTTTTTATTTATTATTATTATTTATACGATACCGAAGTTAGTAAAAGCTTATTTGATTTACTTCATAGAAATTTCATAATAATTATTATATGTACTATAATATTAATACATATTGGTGTGTTGTAAATGCTAGTGTTTAATAAAAAAAAAATTGTTCTTTTAAGCTTTCAAGGCCCAAGCCCGTCATAATATTAAGAATTCTGAATTTGCAACTTATTTGTGCATAGTTGACAGTTTTGATCACATTTGTGATAATATAGTGTTTGGAAGAATGAAAAAATTTAGATTTTGATGTACAGTACTATAGTTCAACAGTAGGTCGAGATTAACAATTATTAAGAAGAAGGTAAAATAAAATGTTTGTTTTACTTATAATTATAACTGTCTAACTATATTCGTTGTTTAGGTATTTATATTTTGAAAGACTATTGAATAATAAATTAATTATATCTAGATAAGCAGATAACATATGCATTACACATAGGAAACTGCAGTACCTAGTTCAGATAACTGAAATATTAAAATATCTATTTTTTTTTTCTTGTCCAGAGTTAGTTGTTTTTTTATACTATTATACATTAAATAAATAATAAATAAATAAAATAATATTATTATTTTGCATGAGCATTATGTATTTCTAAATCATTTTAATAAACTTCTAAACAATATATTATGTATTAATAAAAGCTTACCTGTTAGTTGTCTTTGACCGGTTCCCAACAAGACGAACTGAAAGTTGATTCTAGGTGTGTTGGGACCCATTATTTATAGTCAAAAACTGTAACAAATATTTATTTTATATCAACTACAAAATCAATCAATGTCAAAATTTGTGTTTACAAAATTAACAATATGATCTGACTTCAATTTATTTGATTTAATGAATGTTTACTAAAGCAAAATTTATGACGAACACTTATTTTTTTCAAAACATTGTAAACACGAAAAAGACAAATCAATTAATTTTGAATCATTTTATTCTTATTTATGCTCCCATGAACTCTGAATTTTTAAATTTTCATTATTTTAAAATTTCACATAAGTGAATTTTTTTTATAGTTCTCGAGTTTTTTCGATTGTTTAGAACGTTAAGATTTTATTAAGATAAATGATAATTGAAAGAAAATGTATGGTCAACCAATCGCATCGATTTTAGTTTTATGTTTATAAAACCTGGGATGCAGCTTTTTTGTATCGTAGATTTTGACTTTCGAGTATACCTCATTATTAGTTCAAAGTAGAGATGTAAAAATCAGTGTACTTTAGTTCACCAGTCATATAAGTAGCTAAAAATTGTGAATACTGCATTAGAAAATAGTGTAATGGTAAAGGTCCTACGGTAGATATTTTTTGAGTTAGGTACCTACAACAAAATAATAAAAACTGTTGGATAAGAAATCCTTATTTTTGTAAATTTAAATTTAAACTTTCATACAGAATGAATGTGACTTAGTGGCAGTTGATATGTTCTTTCTTTTATTTCAGTAGGTAAGAATAATTTATGAGAAATATTTTATAATTTCAACTTTATGCTATTAATAAACCAAATCCATTTGGTCAAAATTTCATAAAAATAACAGTTTTTTCTGAATTTTCTTTTTCTCAGTTGTTCTGTAAAATACTGAGAATTTTAAATCAAGATTTAATTTTTTAACAGAAAACAGCATTTATAAATAAGCATTTATATTACTTCAAAAGTTGATGATACTGAAAAATAATCATAGACATCATTGTAAAATCATTACATTATCACTCCGCTTAGAATTTAAAAAATTAAAAACCTAATAAATAAATTATGAATTATTCTTTAAAATTTCGCACAGAGCTAGTTAACCTTTATGCAATTATGTCATAAACTATATACCTATTTAAATTTAAATTAATATTTCATATAATATTTTTAAATTACATAACTATAACTAGGTACCTCTATTTTATTTTGTGGAAAAAAGTTATAACCTATGTAATATAATGTTCAGTATTCAATATTTTACTTAAGCTGTTTTAATATATATTGCTAGTATTCTGTTTCAGTTTTTGAAAAAAAAAAATCAGTTATTAATATTTTTTCATACTAAAATAAGGTCAGTAAATAAATTTTTTTTTAGATATTTGAAGTACAAAATTCAAGAATCTAAAATACCAAACATTTTACAAAAATATCATTTAAAAGAAGTTATTGAATAATGGATATAGTATACTTATATTATATCTAGTTTCTATAAATATTATTTTCTATGCGACATCCAAATCACTAAATTTCATTGTATTATCGTATGTAAATTCTTATAATTTTACAAAAATTTTCAAATAATATCGAACTTTACTGTGGAGATTTGAAAAGCCCTTCACTGCTACCTAATTTTTTGTTAAAAGAGCTATGTAGGTAATATGTTTCAGTTCCATAATAAAAATAAAAATCACCATTGATAAATATTATTATTATATTATTAAGAAATAGTATGAAATGTACAATGAAGCTATTTTCATTCTACTCGTATATCGTATTTTTAAGTTTCCTGATATCAATAACAAACCCTTATAAGTTATAAAGTTAACTTTTTATAGTGTTTATAATAAATGTTCTAATTTTATAACATAATGCTATTTAATTCTACACTTATCTAAAGCATTTTAACGTTTACATTCTCATTTAGGTTAGAGTATGATTACACATTAATCAGGTACTATAATTAGTAATTACCATTATAAGATATTACCTATACATGTATAAAGATCGTCTAGATTTATTAAGAGATTCCTGGGAATTTACTTAGCTGACATGTCCGGAAATATTACAATTAAGACTAGGAGCTTATCGGGAGTATTATAATCTGTTAGATATTGATTATATATTTTAATGTTTAGTTAAATATATGGCTGTCAATGATTAAAACGACAAATATTTTATAACCTTAAATATTAGAGAAGAATGTGAAAACTTTAATTTTAACCCTAACCTATCCGTTCTGAATGGACTTTTTTCATCAAGCGCGCAGTGCATTTCATTTATTGGATTTGGTAACAATATTGAAATGTAACAATCTATTGGTTAATCGTGACAACCCTTCAATAATATGCACCATCAAACATGGATAAGGGTCATTGTGTTTTTGGAGTATTAGGTTTTTACAAAATATTATTGTAATAAGCTGGTAATTATTGGATTTTCTTAGTTATCAAAAAATTAACAACTAACTTTACATAAAAACTTTTGTTGTTAATATAATAATGATGATCAACCATGAAAAATAAATAAAATACATAACATAAATAATACTAAAAAACCTTTTTGTGATTTTTATGATTGACATTATTTTTAAAAGTATTTTGACATGTAACAAAAACTTGTTCACACTAATAGGCATGTTACATGTTTATTTTACATGACAATCGATTTATTTTGTTTCGATGAATTTAAAACAAGATGTCATTAAATTGATTTAGTGTTCATAAAATATTTCGTTATAAAGTCAATGTTTGACGATGCTATTCTAATAGTTTTGTGGCACAAAACAATTTCGAGTAATATCCTCATATTTTTATGATGATCAAAATTAATGGTAGTATTATATTAATATTTATCACCCCAAAAGCCAAATATATAGATTTTGTTTATGTTTTAGTAGTACATTGTATATTTAATTCAATTCAGCGATTTATGTGAGTTTAATATCCATATTGTTTTATAATATTGTTAATTAATAAACTAATTTGAGTAATTATATAATTGTTTATCAAACAATACATTTTTGTATCCTTAGAAGAAACTTTTGTTGATACCTATATTTTATTGGTAAACACGTTATCTTTGATTATAAAAGTACATTCATTAAAAGTTGAATGTATCCAATTATTTTTTTCTATATAAATTAGATGTATACTATATAGTGTTCTAGAGGTTATATTTCTAGAATTTCCATTTTTAATATTTATTATATTGAGTACCTATATTTATCTCAACATTGTATGTGTATCGTATATTATACATATGCATTTTACACTGAATACATGAGATGTCCTAAAAATAAAAGAGTGCTCTACTCTACTAAGGTTTATAAATACTATTATAAACCTATTTACTTTATTTATTCACTATCATTATTTATTTTTATAAATTCATGGATATCTGCGTCAAAAGCGTACAAAGGGTTAACATTTTCATATCATCATCTTTATATAAATCATAATATTATTATATATTTAATGTTTTACTCAGTAGTATCGTGTACGTCCACTTAACCACTTATTAAATTTAAAGTACAAAATGTGTTCTAATATATACCTATTTAATATGTAGCATATTGTAATATGTCAATGTCGTTATACTTGCATTTACAACAGCTTGTTTTTCGACAAATATATTACGCACCCCTTTTTTATATTCAAATTCTTTAGTTTCAAGTTATTGTTATAACATCAAACTTACACGCAAATAATATGCATATATATATGTACTACATATTATTATCATGAACACTACATGCGGTTTAGTTTCATATAAACGAGTATTTATGTTTGGATACAACATTTTTTTTTCTTGTATAAATGGAGTTGTGTCTTTTACATGACATAGAAAATAAACAAACACAATATTATTTCGTTGACACTGTAGATTTTGAACGGATTTTAGAACATTTTTGGCTATGCAATCGCTCCAAGGTTCTTACACGATATATACATACTGTTATATATATATATTATATATTATAGATTTAATTGAATATTTATAGTATAATGTACTTTTGTTTTATTTTGATTATTTAAACGCTTAAATAAGGATGCTATTTTTTACTGTTCACCATCTGATGATGTGGATGATATTATTATTTGAAAAAAATATAAAATACAATAACAGATGATGTAATATAAAAACAGAAATAACTTTATGTGTTTTCCACCTTTTCTGTAAAGAAAATTAATGAAAATGTGTATTATTTAAGATATTTTATTAATAATGTGTACATAAGTAATGCACGTGTCAATACATAATGGGTTTCAGCATTTGTCTGTCCATGCTAATGTAACATGGAGTAAAACAGAACCCCCGGCCATCTTATTTTTAAATTTGAAAATACTAGCCTCGTCACATACCAACATATGCATGTTTATAATAAATAATGTACAAAATAAGCAAACGAAAAATATCAAGTAGACTCTGATTATGTCGTAATTCCTGGTAAATTAACTATTATTATTATACTGTATGATAAAAGTTTAATTAAAATGTTTTCATGAAATAATAAAACACACTTTTAAATATTTTAACACGTACAATTTTAATTTGAACTTTTTCAACATTTTTCAATACAAACAAAGTATATTATAAAAATATTATAGGATTCAAATTGAATATGCTGATAAAAAACTTTAAAACTTAAGGTATAATGCATTTTAACATTAAACTTTTATGATGATTATTATATGTTTATTAAATTTATACAATACGTAAGAATTAAGTATACCTACCTACTGGCTACGTCATAAAATATTATAGGTTGTGTACTTTGAACTCTTCAAAAGAGTGAAAATGTTTTAGGTATTGGTATATAAATATAAATAGAAAATGCATTATTATATCGAGTTGTTTTGAACAGTATTAAAAATGTTTCAACTATTTATTATGGCTTCGTAAAATAAAGTGATGCATAATGGTTGAGTGTAACTTTAAATATTTCAAACGTACAAGTGATAACTCTCGTGTGATGATAATCACAAAATATTATTTTGGAATAAGCCAAGATTTCGATTACTTGAAAATTATTATTTATAC